AGGGAGGAAGAATGTAGTAATTCTAAATTTTTTTTTTAAAAAAAAAAAAAAGAAAGAAACTTTTAATAAGTGATGGTCTATATGAGCATGATGGTCCTTAGGGACTATCACTATTTTCAAAATCTTTTGGTTAAGTTTCTTTTGTTTGCTCCTGCCTTGCCACGTCAAGTGGACGTGGGCTTTAAGCATATAAGGGGTATTGTAACGGTTACACCTCGTGTATGAGATGTAACTTAATAAAATATTATAATAAGGTGTCGTAAGAGTTTAAATAAGAGATATGAGGACTCCTACTTTAGAAAACTTATGATTTTTCTCTCTGGTCGAAACACAGTGAACTCCTCTCTCTAGCCGAATTTTTATCGGAAGCTCCCTCTCAAATATTTGTGTGTAAGTGACATCGTCTTCTTGAAAAATAGTATGTTTTTAATAAATAGTGATATTTCCGTCCAGGATCTTTATTTTACAAACTGCTACCTTTCTAAATTTGAGCCCAAAATATTTGATTGGTTATTTCTTTAATGTTATTGAAAGTGACTGTTATTAATGGTTTCAGTGAAATTCATATTAATGATTTCAGTGATATGTGAGTACATGATAATTGTTGCATTCGAATGTTTAAAGAGATTTAGAAATAATTTAAGTATGCAAGTGGACTCATCCGGTTCACCGGTGAAGTATAAGTGGACCTATCTGGGATGCCGGTAGGGATTAAGTGGACTCATCCAGTACACCGGTGAGGTATAAGTGGACCTGCAGGGATTAAGTGGACCTATTTGGGACATCGATAGGGATTAAGTTGACCCATCAGGACGCTGATGGGATATATAAGTGACCTACTTGGGACACCAGTAGGGTATTTTGTGAAATCCTTTGAATTATGCACTGCCGTTAAAATGTTATATGCATTTCAATTATTCGGATTATACTTAATTATGCATTTTTGTAAGTGAAACTGTTAATGCATTTCTGTTAATAGATCTCCTTTTTGGAAATATTGATATCTTTCAACCATGATTATTTCTAGGATTATGATGATCACTTACTGAGTAGCCAAACTCATCAAACTATGGTAAACATTTTTCAAGATAACTACGGTTTCATTTAAGTGCTCATCAGGATCAACTTTGGGAAGATATTGTAGTTTTGCTTATACTTTCTTTTGTTACTTTGTAAGAATTCGCTACTGTATATTTTTCCTATCAAGCAATGTATATATGTTTTGTCAATCACATATCAGGAATATCAGTATCATAAATTCTTGAGGTGTGACAGTTATTTTAAATTTGGAAATTTATTTTCAATAAATAATATTTAATATCATGTACATTTCACGTGCATATAATATCATTAATATGGCATGGGGACATGATGTTTTTGTTTTTTAATGTCATAGGCATATGATGGTTAGATTGTAGTGCTGGATCTATTTATATGCTTGATTTATTTTTGAATTCCGGAGCCCATGCCAAACTTCTCAAGAACAAATTTAAGAATAAATAAATAAAAACCCACTAATGGAATCCTTACACGTCATTGTTCTAGGCCAAGCATATAACACTAGGTTGCGGGTTTCAATTCAATCTTTACTATGGATTGAAATGCCAATGCAGTCCTACTCCAGGTAAAGTATAAATATTCCTCAAAGATCCCTACTGTGGAGAGGATAAAATTCCTAGTTCTAAGGTGGCATTTGAGTAATGAAATAAACATTTAACCCTTTTGAATGGAGCAAATTTGATGGTCTTAAAGTAAAACCATTGATTAAAATAACTAGAAAAAGTGAGCATTTTTTTTTGGGTAATTCGAGAATACAGGCTACTACCTGTTTTTGAAATGGTTAGTGGATTTTGAAGGTGTAAGTAGGAACAGGGAAGCCACATGTAGGTAAGCAGGCTATGAAATAAGGCATCCCTATAACTAGGCACTCCATTTTAGTGCTAACCCTTCAATCATATTCTACCTCATAAGCTAACTTAATAGAGCCCATGACCAACCCATCCGCAAGTGTTGATGATTGAGATTCCACACACACACACTCTCTCTCACTCAAAAACTGCCTGGTTCTGCAAAATTATCAAAGATCATCCATCCAACCCATCGTTTTCTTCTCCATCTAATGGAAGATAAATGTCAAAGAACACAGAGAAAATACATAAGAACAATATCAGTCAACACCCAGTAAATTCCATCTAACCCTTCTCGTTTTCTCCTCAATACATTTGCACTGTAGAAGCATCCTGTATAATTCTCGTCTCCAACTATAGTTTGCCTTTCTTCATCAATCCTTCTCTTCAAGTTCCAAACACTTTCATTAGAAACCCACTCATAGGTAACGATGCCCATCTCCAGGGCATATAGATCAGCTTGCCGCAAACATCAGTTTTGATTCAGAGGAACTGACTTACAAAAAGGATACCACCGAACTAACAAGAAAAGAGATATCAGGCATGAAGAAGAATATGCAACACTTAATCTATCGCGCTACTTTTTCTGCTTTCACAGTTCTACCTTCCCTTTCCCTTATACCTACCGACTCGTCATCAAAACCCTTTCCATCATCATCAACATCATCATCATCATCATCACCGACCATCTTGGTCTCCTCATCCTCTTCTTCATCATAATCATCGACATCATACTCTTCTATGTCCCCATCTTCATCATCCATGTCATCCGCCATAAAGTTGGGGTGCAAGGTGTGAAACTCTGGGGGTGGAGGGCAATCTTCACTGATTGCTTTATCTCGTTTAATGACGAGATGGCGAATGACCCTTTCGTCCTTGTCCAACAAGCTCTTCAATTCGTTGATCCATTGGGCACCCAATTCAAAGTTCATCAGAATATAATTGGCGTTTCGTGCCTTCTTTATCTTGTATGCCAATCGTCGAAGACCCCAATTATTCAGACGCCATATCTTTCCACTCTTTTCATTTATGTAATCTGCAAAAGCAGGTCACAGATGAGATCAATTGTGAAGAAATAAAATATGATTGTCACCAAATAATATCAAAGTCATGCATCAAAATGATGTCAATAAATCATGCAAACAGAGACGAAACATTCAATGAAACTATAGCAGTGCAGTTTCTTTTTTTTTTCCCTTTCGATGGTAAATTATAAAAGCGCAGTGAACAATAAATTAAAGGTTGTGTGCTGCATGGGTGTTAATTGCTAATGAGCACACAAATATATTATAATTTTCTTTGGGTGAGTATAACATAATTTGTTCATCAGATAGCCAGATGGGAAATTCCATCATACGTTTCATGGGGGAGAAGCATCATGATTTTCTCTTCTTTTCGGTAACATAAGACTTCTGAACTCATTTCTAATTCATGGTAAATCTGACTAGAAGCTGGGATCAGTAACCAGATCAGCATTCAAACAAAATACCTTCCAGTTAACAGGTAAGGTGTAAATAATGAATAAACCACATGCTTAGGGGCTAGATATCCCTTATCTTTGTATAAAAAGAAGAGCATACTCATGCTACTTCTACAAAAGAAGTGAATTTGATTTGTTAATTCTAGACATCACAAAACTGGCACTTTGAAAGTGGGGGTTTGAAAAACATAATTTGCAACATAAATTAAATAACAAATCGTGAATGAAAAGCACAAGTACAACACATAGCACTCTTCCAATGAGAAAGTCCTCTAGCATCTTAAAAGTAAGTTGGGGGTCTAATCTTCTAAGATGGGTTCTAATCAACCTTGGATTTTGTCATATGCAATTGTTCTAAATCAAACCTAGCATAGAATCAGATAAGTTGATAATGATAGAAGTGCAGTTCATGTAAAGCACTCTCACCTATGTGGGATCAAACTGACTACAAAATATAGTATCACTGAAACAGCTCCATGCACCCAAAATGAGATGGTGATACCCAGTTAACAGGAGAGGATGAATGGCACAAGGAACTCATGCTGTCACCAAAATGTGAGTTTGACACTGTTTTACATCTTCAATCCTTCAAGGTTAATTCACTTTCCTCTTATTTTGAGTTTTCATTTTCTCTTTTTCACATTGTCAAGGCAAGCATTAAAATATAACAGTCAAAAGATGGAATGGTGAATGGAGGAACAGGATTCATGTAGCCGACCCCAAATCGTCGGGATAAGGATTGGAAGATGATGATGATGATGATTTAAAAGATGTAATGGTAACAACAATGAGATCTTGAAGCCTTTGAAGATCACGATCAGTCTCTATACACTCAAGAGAAGGATATTACTATAGCATCAACACCAAAGTCCATCTGTATTAGGAGAAACTTCTGGTATCTTAGCAAACGAATAAAGGCAACCAAATGAGAACTGCAGAAAGACAACCAATGCAGGTGAATAATGACCCACAGTACATCAGTACATTTTCAAAGAGCAACTCTTTGCTTTTATTTAAACCATTCCATGGTAGTATTTACCAGAAGACCCCAAAATTGTGACCAAACACTGAATTATACAGAGTACTCAACTTCCGTTCAGATTGTGCAGAGGCATGATTATAGTCAATGGTTTGGGGTTCATAAGAGCCACAAAACAAATGCTTAAGCAATCAGAGAATCTAAAATACTGAGAAGAGCTAGGCGAATCCATAAGCAATTTGCTCAAGCGCAGCTATATTAGTGTAAAAAAATCAAGAAATAACACCCTACCATCAATATTCAGATTCTAAATTACAAAACAAAAATCTACTTATAATTTTATTCTTGTTTTACTTGGGTTTCATTCTACTTGTTACAAAACGACAAAAACTATGATCTAAACACAAGCCCATGCTTCTCAATATGCACGAGAACTACGAGGATATAAAGCAAATTGATCGATGAAATCCTAAACCCATCTGTTAACAATGTGACTCTGTGACAGGTAATCGAGAATTAACCCACCCACACACAGGCACAAATGCACACAAACACATGCATATAAACAATATTATCTACACAACAAGACCTGATAGAGGACAGATTAGATGGCTCGTTCTGGTAGAGACAAGACTAACTAGATACTCTTAATGCATAAAATGCGAATCATTTTTTAATGCAAGGACTCCGAGAAGGTGGTGTGCTATATTTCAAAGTGGTAACTACGAGGAAACAAATGCATTCTTCTAATACAAATTCAGGTTGAATAAAACTTAAAATATAAAACATCAAGTTCACCTTGAAACTTTGAAACTACACAGTCAACCTCATCCACACGGTCTTCATGAATCAGGTAAACCACTTCATAGTGACGTGCTGCAAAGAAAAAACGCATCAATGATACTTGGAATTATATCACTTGATTATAGACAGTCCCATACAAAAATAAATAAATTAGTATTGTAATGTTAAGATAAAATAAGCTACTAAATTGATGGAGAAGTCACGGGCGCACTTCTGTCAATGTCCATATCACTTTCCTTCTGGAGACTCAGAAATTCATAAAGTTGTTCTGCAAATCATCAATAAATGTTTGTCAGCCACTATCTAACATAATGTAAATCAGTATATTTACAGAAAGACAAAGTATTACATGGTTTTATTTTTATCATTTTGATTGAATTTTTATTTTATTTCCAATTAACAACTGTGGGAAATAAACAAACAAAGTCAAACATCACAGCATTTTAAGTCGGTGAGTTTTCCTCAGATAATCGGAAGTTTAGCACCAGGATTGAAGCTTTCTTTCCTGCATTTCCTTTCTTTTCTTTTCTTGTCTTTCTTCTTCTATTATTTCTCCTTTTTGTTTTTTTCATTTTCTTTGAAACTTAAGAATTTAATAAGTTTGCAACTACTAACCTTCCTCAGCATCCGCAAACTCAGGGAGAAGTCTCCCATCCTCCTGAACTTCCTTCTGGAAATGACAAAAAGTTTCAGGGCCATCTATGAACTATGCATTCATGAAAATTGTGAGCTTGAAATGGAGATAGCTCAGCAAAAAGAATACTGGAGAAGTAGAGAGAGAGAGAGAGAGAGAGAGAGAGAGAGAGAGCTGCTTCTAAAGATTTCAGTAGCTGATTGCAATATCAGTGATACAGCGGAAAAATTTTCTTTTCAATAAATTAACAGCAAATTAATACAACAAAAAGTTTCCCAAATCCTATCACTATAAGCATAAGCAGCTCCACAATGCAATCCACATAATCCCAAACAAGGAAGACCTTACCCCAATCTACAAAGAGAAAGACAACGAAAACTGTTATACACAATGTTTTGAAACTCATCTCGGGCCATAGACTCGGCCCTGACCAAAGCCAAGTAACTGGCCGAGCCTGAGTGGACACAGCAGAGTCTCGTATAAGATGAAAAAAATGCCGAAATTTAAAAAAAAAAAAAAAGAGCAAAAAGTACAATGAGTAACAAAAATCAGTAAAAGTCCATAAAAGTTCAAAGAAGTACATAAAATATGGATAATTGAAAATTCTGATGCATACCTTGAAACTTTTCATAAAAATTAAAGAGGCAAATAAAAAATTGGACCAGGTAATAAGAAAAACTCCCAAATCATCATTAAAACCAAAAAAATCATATAAAACGTATGGAAATATCATATTTGAAGAACTTTTAACGAAATCTTTGATCTTTTCATGACTTTTAATAAGGGCAAGTTGGCCCCTGGAACTTCCCTTAGCCAAGCCCAGGCAGAGTTGCTCTGCCAAGTCCTCGAGTGACCTCGGCCGAGTCCTTGAACAATGGTTGTACACAAAATCTAAAGACTTTGGCAGCTGATTATATTTTCAGTGACACGGCTCAAATTTTCTATTCAGTACATATATATAAAGAGAGTGAGAGCTATGTATTAGAAACATGAAGCATCCTCTCATTCATACGAGATACAAAGTTTTCAAAAAAAAGAAAAAAAAATCACCTTTTTGAGAAGCACAGCCTCAGGGAAAGGTCCGGTGGCTTCGTCGGGCTTTGCGGTAAAACTGTGGGTATCCTCCTTCTCTTTCTTCTTATTCTTCTTAGCTTTCACAACCACCAGTGGTGTCCTCTTCAATCCATCAATCCGGTTTTCCTCTCTTCCAATTGAAAACCCACCTCCAAAATCCCACCCAATGTCAATTCCTTTGCAGAAAACCCTCCCTCTGAAGTTGGTTTTGAAGCCATTTACATGCTTCAAATGTGCAAAATTGGTTTTGAAGCAATTTACAGGCTTCATATTTGCAGCTGAAAGGGTGGGGCTTAGAACCTCCATGAAAGCTCCCCCTCAGTTACGAGAGAAAACCTCAGAAATGGGTTCTCGCCGGAAAATTTGAAGGAAAATTGCGTGTGCGTGTGAGTGAGATCGAGTGATCTGAGCGAGGATGAGCAACTGGTTAAATACAAGTTTTCATCCGTAAGAGTAAATCGACAGTTTGCTCCTGCAGGAGCACAGAATTATTGGAACACTCCACGTCATTGTTTTCACAAAAGAGCTCGTTGCTAACGATATGGAGGAGCGTGTTTACATGTTGGAGAGAGACGCTTGCGTTTGTTAGAGATAGAGAGAGAAGAACGTTTTAGAGAGAGAGAGAGAGAGGGGCTTTTAACGTTCAGAGAGAGTGAGTTTTAGAGAGAGAAGATGGCGGCGTCTGTATGATAGTGAGTTTTAGAGAGAGAAGATGGCGCGCGTTTAGAGAGAGAAAGAGAGGGTGAGAGAGAGTTGGGGGTAACGACAGGAATTCTTATCTATACTCACTCTGCTCGGAAACACAAAATAGAAGTGGAAAATCTTACTGAAGTTTCAATTGCTGCCTCTCTCACTTGAAGTTGGCGCTCAGAGGATCATCTCTCCACCAAAAATGGCCACTTTTATCTCCCTCGCCTCCATTAGTGCCTGCAAATGCCCTTGCAAACAAGGTACCATCTCTCTCTCTCTCCCTCTAACGTTCGTGCATAGGGATGCTGAAATTATTCTCATTCTCTATGTAGCTTCACCTCAATCAACTGCTGGTTTATCTATTAGTTTCTATCTATAATGCTTTCTCTCTCTCTTGCTAAGAAACTGTGAATGGATTGGAGAATCAAAAGTTGCATCTGATTGATCGCGCGAATTCCTCTGTTATAAAGCTGAACTCAAGCCCTAAGCTCCATAAGCGTCTATCGGTTCAGGCAAAGGTTAGGGTTTCCTTTTCTTAATTATTTTTGTATACTTCCTCTTTCTCCAGTTGATTTCTTCTTCCTTTCTTCCTGCTTGGAAATTTTTCAGAATATTCCAGTGCTTCCTTTCTGAATTTAACAAAGAGAGTGTCTACTATCCCTTCATTCTGATATCATTTGTCGAAGATTTGATGTGAATATATAGTATTATCTCAGTTTTCCTCGTAATTTAACAAAGAGAGTCTCTATATCGTATTTCTGATGTCATTGTGTAAGACTTGATTTCAATTTTACAGAATTATTTCTGTTTTACTCTGAATTTAACAAAGAGAATCTCTAGTCTCCATATCTTATTTCTGATATCATTGTGTAAGACTTGATTTGAATTTTACAGAATTTGTTCTGTTTTACTCAGAATTTAACAAAGAGAATCTCTATGTCTTCTTTCTAATATCATTTGAGGAATCTTTGATGTGAATTTTATGGCATTATTTATGTTTTCTTCTGTATTAAACAAATAGGCTCTATATCTTCTTTCTGATTTCATTTTGTGGAAGATTTGATGTGAATTTTAGAGGAGTATCTGAGAAAGAGAGTCTCTATCTCTTCTTCCTAATATCATTTGTGGAAGACTTGATATTTCTGTTTTCTTCTGTATTAAACAAAGAAAGTCTCAATCTCTTCTTTCTAATATCTTTTTTCGAAATATTTGATGTGAATTTTCAATATTATAATTGTTTATATTTCGTTCCTGTAACTTTTTCGAAAGATTTGACGTAAATTTTCAATATTATAATTGTTTATGTTTTGTTCCTGTAACTGTTAATCTTTTTTTTGCATGTTGGACTATGCGAATAAGCATAAACCTCAGTGCCATTTATGGGCGGATTATTGAATTCTATCATGATATTTCTCTATATGAACTGGACAGTATTGATTTATCTTGATCCCTTGTGATAATGAAAAATTATCATGTATTCCCATTATTACCAATAGTATTTAAACACTGTTTTTAGTATAGATTATCTTCCAGGAAGCACGGAGCATGGATTGTGTACTTCCAGGATATATGTAAAGAATTTTTGAAAAATAAGTACAGTTTCTACCCATTTTGTCCTGGTTTCATTCTCAAAAACATAAAATGCTTTTATCTAATGCCTTAAAATTTCCAATAACTGCTTTAGTGACATTCCATTAGAAGATAGCATCCTAAAGTAATGCTACAATAATGACTAAAATGTGAGATATAAATTAGAATGCTGTTATGAAGATTTACAGATTCCAATAAATGCTCTAATGATATTGCATTAGAAGATAGCATCTTAAATACATGCCATAATAGTGACATACTTTTGAGATATAAATTTTGAGATAGCATCTTAACTAGTATGAAGATTTACAGCAATTGTTATGAATATTTGAACTGCTCCAGTGGGCAATGCATCTTATATTCATTGTTTTTGTATCATCATCATAGCCTTTTCCTAAGTAATTGGGATCGGCTACACGAATCCTGGTCCGCCATTCTACTCTATTTAAGGCCATATCCTCAGTGAGACCATGAGTTCCCATATATTTTCAGATTACTTCCAAACATATCATTTTGGGCCTACCCCTTGCCCTTTTCAATCCTTCCATTTGAACTAACTCGCACATCCTAACAAGTGTTGAATTGGATCGACGCCACATATGGCATAATTATACCTAGGTATAATTATAGTTGTACAGTGGCATGACTAGAATGTGAGCATTTGGGTGGTTTCAGAATTATTAAAAAAGAAGAAGCAATGTGTGCTTATTGTTCTCGATTTGGATATTTATCTTTTGGGATTAAAATTAATCTACTTGGTTGAATGTTGAATAGTAATTGGGAACTATAAGACATAAGGGAATTGCCTCGGAGAAAACCAGGAATTTATATATTAGAATATTGGTTGGATGATATATTTACTTTGAATTAGTTTATCATCTTCATCCGAGCTTTATCCGAAGATCCGAACTATTTGGAGTTGGCTGCGCAAATCTTATTCCTCCATTCTGCTCTAAAAGGGCATACCCTTAGACACGCCATAAGTCACCATATCTCTTCTCACTTTAGACCTTCCCCCTGACATTTTTTTAGAGCTTTCCACTTGAACCAAATCACCTCTTCTAACCAGTGTTGTTCTAGGTCGACGCTACACATGGCCAGACCACCTAAGTCTATTTTCCCTAATCTTATTGCCTATTGGAACTACTCCTAAGTTCCTTCGGACGTATTCATTCCGAATTCTATTATTTCTTGACTTGTCACTCATCCATCTCAACATCCTCATCTCAACTACACTCATTCTATGGATATATTATTTTCTGATCGCCCAACATTCTGTCCCATAAAGCATAGCTGGCTACAATCATTCTATAGAACTACCCCTTCAATTTCATTGGTATGTGATGATCACGTAAAACTGCATGAGCACATCTCCACTTCGTCTACCCAACTCTAATTCTATGTGCACGTCTTCCTCAATCTCTCCATTTCATAGATCATCTACCAAGATATCAAAAATAGTCTAATGGCAAACTTCCTTATTCATACAAGGTACATGAAAGTATCCGCAAACTATTCCATGCATGGGGTGACTTGCTAGTCAAGTCATAGGGTTATTGTGAATTAGTCTTTTATTCTACATGTAAATTGTATTAAGTTGTGAATAAATATGACTAATCAAAGAAATTGTCAGCAATATCAACAGCTTTGAAGCTTAGAAATTGTGACTATAGAGTAGTTTTAACCACTATATAATGGAAGGTATTCTTAGAGAGTCCTCTTATTTGGGCCATCTGTTGAACCTAAAATTGAGAACTACTCCCAGGGTTTGACTTGCACAACCTATCAATATTTTGTATCTTCAGAGATGTATTGATAATCTGGACTATAAAATGAAAGTGGCTCATGAGTAGTGAGTAAAACATATTAAAAAAAGAGCTCTGGATAATTCAAAGAATTTGTTTTAGCCAGAATTTTCTTCCTTTTTTTTTCCTTTTATATTATGCTATATGCGTGGCATTTAAACGATTGATTTTTTGACAGTTGACTACAGATAGAAGTGATTTGTACGTATATCCTAGTCATGACATAGTATTTCCATATGCTCTTTTGGCTGGTTAATAAATTTTTTACTTAAAATGACTATGATAAAGCTACAACATCAGAAACAAAAAGAATGAGAAATGAGGACATCTTCTTGTCCCTATTGTTGTGCATTGGCATTACTTTATCCTGGCCTATTAATCCAGAAATAGAACTGTTTCAAGGCTTTTCATAGTCTTGTGGAAATTGTCTCTTGAGGGATCAGGTTCTTTCTCAGGGTAACTGGCTATAGTTTTGTCATGGAGTTTCTAAAGTTTTGAATTTCACTGGCTCTTCCCATTTCATCCGGCTTGATCAGACTATGAGAGTTCCTTGAAGCTTTTCCAATTACCCATTTCTATTGTAGTTAAGATCTTACTACTGCCATCTGCCACTCATCTTTGGAATTCTTTTGAGCCAGTCAACTATCACGAGGACCTTGTTAAGTTGTAACCCAAAAATTATGGTGGTTTACACTCATGAAAGAAAAATGCTTCTTTGATTTATGTGTGTGTTGTTATGCTTAAGTAATTTCTTTTTCTGCATGTAGGCTCATTTATGATCGACTGTGCCCATATCTATTCAAATTTCTGCTTGATGGCGATATATGTAAATATGGAGTGCTTTCATGCAACGGTTGTGTAATAATATAACGAAACAATCTTCAAAAATCATGTTAAGACTCTTTGCACCCCAATTTTTAAATATACACTTTGATCATTCTAATAAACAATCACGAAAGGAAAACTCCAGAAATATATCCTAAAAAGTGTTTTTTTAGCCCAATTAACATAGGCTGTCTATTTTGGTAAGATGCTTAGATCTAGGCTTTAAAATGATTTTTTCCATCTCCAAATTTTTTTAGAGAGCTTTATTACAATTAGATGAACAATGTTAAAAAAAAAAATTGGTTTTGAATTCATAAAGTCTTAGATCTTGAAATTCAGCAAATAGATAGTCTAGATCCATTGTTGCAGGGGGATTCATCTAGACAATATACAGGGTACGAATTGAATTTTATCTTTTTGGGGATTGATTATTGGGATGAAGAGAGGGTGTGTGCAATTTTTGATGTCATACAAATACCTCAAATATGGTTTTCTAGAAGTGTGGTTTCATTATATTATAATGACATAGTTATATATATATATATATATATATATATATATATATATACCATTATATATATGCCATTTATATAATGGTACAAGGTGGACACAATTAACCATGACCATATATATATACCATTTATCTTTGTAGACAATCTCATATATATATACCATTTATCTTTGGTACAAGGTGGACACAATTAACCTTGACCATTGGATGAGAAATTAGATGGTTGCATTTATTCCACTGACCAAGCTCAAACTACAAAAGAAAATTTCGCGAATTTTGGATCACATCCAACCTATCAAATTTCACATTGGATGGTTGTAAGTAATTGTGGCCTCCTTGTATCAAAGATAAATGGTCTCATTGTATAGAATCCCATATATATATATATATATATATATATATATATATATATAATATTTTCTTTTGGTTGTTGCTTGCAATCAGTGTTGCTCGTCATATTAAAAATCTCTCTCTCTCTCTCTCTCTCTCTCTCGTGTGTTTGCTCTCTAATTCTCATTCTGTTAAACCAATATAAAATGATATGAATCAGATGTTCCGATGTATGTGCATAATCGTATTTGTATCAGTGATTTCTGATTTTCACTATTTCCTTACTGAAATATGGGGATTGATCTGTGTGATATTTGATATTTTGCTTTGCTGGTTTTCTGCAGGCTGCTGAGAGTAGCAAACCAAGTTCTTGGCCTGCTGATAATAGCACCCCACGAACAAAGCCCAATAGCATCGTTTGTATTGATTGTGATGGAAATGGTAATCTATTTTATAATGTCGAACATCGCAATTACTTTAGTGACCATTTTATCTTGTGGTTTCCCGTTATTAATGGAACATGCTGTTCATGTGATTTCTAGAAGTCTCTTCCTTGCAGAATCAAGCATCAATCTGAATGCATTTTCTTCTCATTGAAATTTCAGGTATAAAACTCTGCACTCAATGCGAAGGAAGTGGTATAAACTCTGTTGACCACTTCAATGGTCGGTTCAAGGCAGGCGGATTATGTTGGCTTTGCAGGTCTCTCTCTCTCTGTCTCTCTCTCTCCCTCTCATTTGTAATTTTCTATCACAATTAGGATATGGCTTATCTCATTCATAAAGTTTGATGAGAAAATCATTTTGTAGCATTCATGTAAGGAAATAATATTACATACTTATTTAAAATTACATCTTGTTCATGTAATGCTGGTTGTTAGCAGGGGTAAGAGGGAGATTCTTTGTGGGAACTGCAATGGTGCGGGCTTTATTGGTGGTTTCATGAGCACACGAGATGACTAGAAGTTGGAACTCCTTACTTGTGATATAATTCTTTCCTGAATTACAAGTCACTGTCTCTAAGATGACAGTTAGATGCTGAGATGCTTGTGTTTAGAGTTCTTGCGAAGTTTTTGAAGTCAATGCATTTATGGTTTTCCGAGACGAGATTAAAACTTAAGATCTAGTAGCTTAGTTTATAACTCTCTCTCTCTCTCTCTCTCTCTCTCTCTTCGTGCGCCCTCGCGCGATCACTTTTTTGTCAGATATTCTATGTATTGCACTGTTTTGAATGAAAGTGAATAATTTTGTAAATTATTGGGAGATAGAGCATGTGTCCATTACAGAGTTGTGTAGACATGCTTGACAGCTAAACTTCAGACGTTTGGACACATGCTCTCTCTCTCTCTCCCCACATACACACTGTGATTTATGATATTCCTTAATACCTGCACTGTGATGCCAAAGCTAATTTGTAATGCATAATGAAAGTCTTCAACTATTTATTCACCCTAGACACTTGGAGAGAGAGAGAGAGAGAGAGAGAGAGAGAGAGATGTCTCTCAGTAATATATGGATTTCCTATTTTCCTGAAAGCTTGTAAATGCATGCCAATGCTAAGCAGTAGTTTAATGCCTATTTAAAGTCTTTAACTAACTATTCACCCAAGGGACATGGGGCTAGAGAGAGAGAGATGCTATTGTTGAAGCATAACAGACACACTCTTTCACTCCAGACATAGGAAGAGATAGAGATGCCTTGAAAGTTGAAATCTCTCTCTCTCCAAGTGAGATGATTTTCTTGAACCTGCACTATGTGATGCCAATTATAAGACGCCCTCGAGACATGGACAGAGAAAGAGAGAGATGCCTTAGAGATCATAGAGATATCTTAGAAACGATGCACAAACTCACTCATCTGCTTCTGCAAATCGTGCGTGGCCTTCGACCTCGGATAGTACACGTGATAAGCATGCGGCTCCCCCTGTGCCTCCACGAGCTCCACAACCCTCACTCCCTCTCTCTTCAAGAACTCAGCATATAGAACCCCTCTCTCTCTCAAAACATCAGCACCAGCAACAAAAACCTTCACACTAGGAAACCGAGTCCATTCGATCTCGGATAAGCCGTCTGCCTTCGTTTTGAAACTGCAAGCATAGTGGTCCCTCCCCTCTGCTTCTGGTAAGCTTAGCCTCCAAAACATGTCATTCAACTCAATCACATGTGCCACTTCTTTGCCTTTCTCACTCTCAATTCGAGCTTCACTTCCGAAATAGGGGTGGATTACTAGAATCCCCTTGATTTCCATGGGTGAGAGATCTTTGTGTAGGGACTGCAAGGCAACGTGGTACGTGATGTTGCCTCCGGCGCTCTCGCCAGAGAGGAAGACCCTGGAGAGGTCGGAACGCTCGAGCCAGGGTTCCTAGTGACAAGCAAATTTAGCATAAGGAAGACAGAGAGAGAGGTCAAGTTGCTAAAAGACATGGAATTGCCTAGCTCATTATTTAACACATTCAACAGTGTGTGTGTGATGGAGAGGTTGTAGTTCGCACCTCGCCTGAATTGCTCTTCAACCACTCCAAAGCTTGCAAACAATCTTCTTAGGCTACCGGAATCCTATTTTCTGGTGCTAATCTATAGTCTACTGATACCACTATAGAGTGAGAGACAACAGAGAGACCCCCAAGAAAGTTATGGAAGCCGGACCACGTTGTTGATCCAATGCAAAAGCCACCTCCATGAAAGTAAACAATCAGAGGAAGGAGAGAGGTTTCAATGGTGTTGGGTACGAAAATCCGAGCAGTGACAGGCTTAAACAAATCGATAGTCACATCCTTCGACTTGAACCCATCGGTAAATTCTGATGAAGGCGGCGAAATTCCCGGTGAAATTCGATTTATTTTCCCACTAGAGAAGAGTTGGAAAAAGCCTGGAATTTCACCAACAATTGACATTTTCTGTAGAATGTTTTGGAGGAGGTACTGTGGTCTTCAGGAGAGTTTGAGAAAAGGGTTGTGGAGGGAAAGAAAGGGAGTGATGTCTTTTATGGAGGGAGAGGTTTGTTACTCTGTTTTTGTTTCATACTTGGTGTGTGCCTTGTGCTTTTTTGAGTAGGTGGGCCACTTGACGGGTGTTTATTGAAGGTGAGTACTCTCTCTCTCTCTATAGTTCTCACATAGTTGGGTGCTCTTTTCAAGGGTGTTGATTGCAAGTGAGTACTGTATCTCTCTCTAGTTAGGTGCTCTTTTTTTTAAAGTTAGTTTAGTTGGATACTCTCTCTCACTTACCTATGCAAGAAGTGAAAAATTGCCACCAACCAAATATCTGGAGCAGTAATTTAAAAATGAATTGGTGATCCGGATCAGGCACCCCAAAAATTGGTTCGGATCGATGTATCGGTGTTCCAGATTGCTATTTTACTGTGTGCAAAAAACAGTGAACCGACGAAAAAAAACATTAACCGGCAAAAAAATCGGTCCGGATCACCATTTTACAATAGAGAATCATTGTTTTATTGTACAAAATTGCTTGTTCCCTTTTAGACTTGTATTTTCTTATATACATGTAGAATCGGAACAGGGTCATTGATTCCCCGGTTAAATTGAACGATTCCGTTCCGATCGAGTGTTTTTTAAATCAATCATGGAAAAGGGCAAAGGGAAAAAAAAAAAAAGTACGTGAAAAATTATTGTAGAGACTTACTCCAAAGTGGCACTCTTTCTAGAAAGCAATGGCATTGCGTCTCTCTCTCTGAATGCAGTACATAGATTAATTCTGAAATAATATGTTGAAGAAAATGAATTCGTATAAAGAAAAGACTGTGAAAAAACTTTCTTCGCGCCAGGTAGGGGTCGAACCTACGACTTTCTGCTTAGGAAACAGACGCTCTATCCACTGAGCTACAGGCGCTTCTGATTGCTAACTTACGTATTCAAAATATTAATACATATTTGAAGTTTTTCAGGCTACTTTTGCATTATTAAAAGTCGAATGTTATTTCGCTCCCAATGAATCATATTGTAAATTTTATTCCTTAGGTAAAACACAAACTAGAGGATTTATGCGATACCAAAATTTGGTGATAACCAAAGAACATCATCATCATCATATAAGCTTATCTTAATTATTTGGGATTAGCTATGATAAGATGTGGCAAAGTTTTACGTCATCTTCCTATCTAACACAATTTACCCCATTTGCCCAGACATAGGATCGATTAAAGGAAAGTTTAAGGTCACCCGTATTAGACTTTAAGAACGGTCTATTTGTTTGCTCTTGAGATTTGTCAAAAAAAGAAAGAAAAAGAATGGTCTATTTCATAATTTTCGTTGGACCAGCCTCAATGAACATAAAATTGGCAAATTGGTATACACTCAAAGAAAAAAAAAAATATCGTCCAAGGATTATATATAGCCCATGAGATTTTTGGGCTGTCAAATCTGCATATTTTGAAAACTCAAAATTATATTTATTTTATTGAAATGCTTATCTAGTAATTCTAAAGTACTTACGAATAGTTCTTTTATTTGGAGATAGATTCTGTATCTAATGGTTTTCAAATTTATCACCTAGACCACCATGATCATGAATATGAACAAAAAACTAAATTTTAGACTATAACAATGGTCTATTTTGTACTTTCTACTGGACTGTTCATTTTAATTCAATATAAATCATAGGATCTTGAGTGTTATAAAGCTCCAAATTCATAAATCCAAGGCATGAAGGGTATAGTTATTTGGAATGTGTTTCAGGTCTTAAATCCCTTGAAAACTAGGGGTAGGGCAAATGCACTAGTAATCAAACCTTCTGATTAAGCAAGGAAGTACGAAATTTAGTTACTTACTCAGGCAAATTAAACAACTAAAATAGCATATAGCTTGAGGAAACTCTCAGTTCACTAAAGAGACTGCTATTGATGTATGAGCATAATATCCATATACTCCGTCTGGTGGTACTCAGGATTAGTTTTTAGGAGTTCAAATTTTAGGCACATAACCTCCTCAAATCAGCTTGGATTGCATATAAACCTTTTTAATATACATCAAATTTTTATTTATATTGTAATTTATTCTTATGAAGAAACAGAAGGCACACACATGAAAATATTTCATAAAGGGAAATATAAAATATTTTCACGTCAAAAAATTCTTTCAAGTGGTTAAGTGTAGAAATATTTTCACATCATTGCTAACTGGTGTGAAAATACTTTCAAGTGACAATATTTCTCAGAAAAAATTTCACCCAAAACAAACGTGCCCACAAGCAAATTTAGGTTCTTAAACATACAGAGTAAATTTAGATTCTCAAACATGTAGATATCAAATCGCTGCACAAATGGACAATTAAAAGTGGACAATGCTAACGTGAATAGGTTGGCCCAATCTCGACAAAGTTATTATTGAAGATTTGAAAACTTGCATTTGTCTTTATGAGGACAAGAACAGAACAAAATACTTATTTGTAAAAAAAAAAAAGAATAGCTAGAACAAAATACTTCAAAAAAAAAATGTATATTACAATGTGTCAAAAAGTTATATGCTCTCATGCGAGTAAAACAAGCATTTAACTCCCTCAGGTAAGACAATCTAAGAGCACTTTCAAGAGTCGAGAGCCCAAATTATGGAATTCCCTTGTTAATTTAGTGACCAACTTTATGAGATAAAATAAAATAGGTTGTGGTTTGTATATGGCAAAGGCCCTAAACAATCAAAGTAAGGCGCACCTTCAAATAATATTGAAAGATGTTTCATAACTAAAAATCTTGTGATATCTTAAAAATTCGTTTTCATATCGAATTACACAACTCAAATATTTAAAAATAGTGGAAATTGAGCAGATCTACGAACTCTTAAATTTTTTGAAAATTGATGGTCTTATAGAGCAGAGGTCCTAAAAGTAAGGTGCACCTTCAAATAATATTGAAAGATGTTTCAGTATTAAGAAGTCTTGTGATATCCTAAAAATCCCTTTTCATCTCTAATTATAAAATTTAAAGATTAAAAAATAATAGAGATTGAGCAGATCTATGAACTCTTAAATTTTTTAAAATTTGACGGCCTAAAAAATGTATTACAAGATGCACTATTTCCAATACTTGAAATCCATTTCTTCCCATGTCCATACATCTTGAGGTTGAGTTGATTGATTGGAGGATTTTTTGGATGGAAACAACCTCTTCTAGTGAATTTTTTAGGGCGCCTTAATTTGATTGTTTAGGGCGTCACCCTTATATAAACTTTTTCTAATAAAATATGCCACACTAGATGAGTGCCTAAAATTCCTAATATTGAACAAAGACTCCATGGCTTTGGAATGCTTGATCTAAGCACTCAAGAACTCAAAATTTGTTACTTTTAGCAATACCATCTAGTGATTCTAAAATAAATTTCAAAATCTCACGTGGAAAGGATATTTGTGAACAAATTTTTAACTCGAGAAAGTAGATACATAGTCTGCTCCGGCAAGAGTACAACAACCTCTTTTCTTTTCTTTTATTTTTATTTTTTGAACATTCACACAAGTGCAAAAGTATAGAACAGCATCAACTGCTATACCTTTTGGTGATTTTTAACTTCATGAGAGGGCAGGTGCAACTCATTTAATTCATTTGTACAAAATATGTGTCGCGTGGGTTGATAATTCAGCCTCGTGGCAAGCAGTATGCCAGTGATGATGCAAGATAGAGATGAAACTATTTGATCAAATTACATTAACATTATCATTATCAATTTCTTTTAAAGTAGGTATATGAAGATGCATAATATTCATTTCCTGCATGAAGGTCACAATCATCCTTAACTCAGGTCATTGAAGATGTGTGATTGATAGGTTTCATAATGGGCCAAGCCGGACTGAGCCAGGCGTGGCCAAAGCCTAGCTCGGGTCCTTGTACAACATTGGGTTATATTTTGCTGCCCAAATTCTAGTTTTTAGGATCAAGCACACTAAGCAGGCTGCTTGTTGCATTGCCAGCCTTGCCATTGACAATGCTCAAAATTCAGTAGGAAATTTTTTTCAAAATATGTCTATCTTCTCAACTAATTAATATTTTGCTCATTTTCAACCATTCAAACTTATGATCTTGTGTCTTTTTATGTACTTTTAGAAATCAAATAAGAAAAAAATATTTAAACGGTTCATCTGTCAAGTGCATTTTGAAGAATTTCCCAAATTCAAAGAGCAATTTTTGGAACTTAATCAGAATATAGAAGATGTTTAGGGCCAATTGGAACCTCTTTTTGCTAAAAGTACGTAACCTTATAATATACAAATCCCGAAAAACATTATATTGGTAGGGATTACATATGCCGGCAACTTGTAGAAGTAAGGTTACAATGACATAGTCAACACTATCCATTTGATTGAATGGTGTTGATTTGATATTTTTTTATATATTAAATTTTATAATTATTTTAAAAAGTATGTCAAATCCACACTGTCCAACTAAAATAAACTGTTCAATACACTATAATCTTATTTTTATATAAAAAATCGTTTTATGCCAGCGAGACCGGATTTCTACATATGCGGTCGAAAAAGTGTAATGCATCCCAAGTAGGTCTTCTATCTAAAAACAATGGAAACTAATGGTCCAAATGTTTTTTTGCTAGAATTATTATTTCCAGTTTTTAAAACTTATTTATTTATTCATATTCATGATCGTTAGAGATTACATATGCATAAAATTTAAGTCTTAAAATCCATCTCAAAAATAGATTTATTAAAGGGCCCACATTTCTACATATGTGGGCTTGGCCGCATAAAAACTGGATCCTTTTTAAATAGCCTTATGTAATTGATGTAATTGCTTATATAATTGTTGCAACTAAAACGTACTTGGTTGTTAGGTTCATTTGGGGGTGGGCTAGGCCGCATAAAAACTGGGCCCTTTTTAAGTAGCCGGATGTAATTGCTTATATAATTGTTGCAACTAAAACGTATTAGTTTACATAAGGATGTTAGAACTTCATACGCACCTCAAAAATCCATTGGAAAATGTAGTTTTAATGTTGAAAACCATTTGATTGGTCATCTCGAGCGAGATCTATGACTATGAAAAATAAAAAGATTTCAAGTCTAAAAAATAGTGCATTTTACAACATATTATCCACACTGTCCATTTTCAAAATTTTCATATGTTTATAGATCTACTTGATTTCTACCATTTTTAAATTTAAAATTTTATAATTAGATATAAAAAAAAGATTTTGAGATAATCCTAAGAACATGAGAAAAGATGAGATTAACCCATTAGCTCATAAGAACATATAAATCCAACGACCCAGATTGAATTTGAACTGATCTGACGATCACGAATGTCTAGTAGTGTTTGAATTTTATTTATTTTTCTACGTATTCAAATTACTTGAAATTTTAAGTGTGTGTTTTTCTCATCAATACGTATTTAATAAAAATATCAAAAAAATTATTTGTAAAGAACAAATAACCAAAATACCCCCCAAATATTTTCAGAGGTATTTTGATCAATTTATTTCATGTCAAATATTTTTTTGATATTTTTCAAAAATTCACTTATTTTTTATGAACACGCCTAAAATTTCAAATGATTTGGATTTATCGAAAAAAAAATTAAAATTCAAACACTACCAAACATCCGTAATCGCCAGATTTACCCAAATTCAATCTGAACCGTTGGACTCGTATGTTCATATAAACTAATAGGCTAATCCTAATCTTTTCCCAAAAACATTATACATCAAATTTATATACTGTGATAAAATTTGAAGGTACCCCTACATATGCAAATGCTGGTTCCGTATGCGAACAGCACCCATATATACATCCGTACGCCAACTGCACCCATATATGAATTCAATTGAAAGGGAGACAGAGATGGGTCAATGCTATATGAATTCAATTGAAAGAGAGAGAGATGCTTTAATGCTGTATGAGTTAAATTTAGTAAGAGAGAGAGAGACAAGATGGTTTAATGCTGTATGAAATTCAATTAGTACAATGAAGATGTGCTGGGTGGGTAGGTAGGTTCATAATATGCATCCATACAACATTACAAATGAAAAGTTTCACTCAATTACTTGTTACACGTCAAAAACACCCAAATCTAAACAATAAAACACACATTCAAAAAAAAATCCCCAACTCTCTCTCTCTCTCTCTCTCTAAACTTTCACTTATTCAATCATAACCCCAATTACATCCCTATAACAACCTACCAATGAGATAAACTCAATGACCCAAAAGTCTCTCTCTCTATCTCTCTCTCTCTCTTTCTCTCACTACTTGCTTGAGGAAAGGGCTCCACCATTGTTAGGATGAGGGGTAGAGGAACACAGATTGAAGCCATACCAGACATCAAAAGGGATGAATTCATCATAGTAGAAGGTAACAGGGGTATCAGAGCTTGGTTTATAAATCTTCACCCACTCAGGCCTCCACCCATCTTGCCCATACCTGTTCAGATAGAGATAACATATCCTGTAGCTGCATGGCCCCCTCAAGTTAAATGTATCAGTCGAGCATCTCTCGAATGTGCCTGAAGATGGGTCATCAAGTCTTGGAACGTACACCTTCTCTCACAAGGTTAGAGAGAGAAAGAGAGAATTAGACCCGGTTTTATGGTTGTCATAAAGATTAGAGAGAGGAACAATTTTTTTAAGTTTTTTGTGTTTACTCTCCATGATCTCTATGGATTTTTGTTTTTTTTAGGGTGGGTGCCAAATAGTACAGATTTCAGAGAGAGAGAGAGAGTTATGTTTGTGTCACAGATTTAGAGGGAGAAAACAATTTAACAGAGTTTCATTGTAATGTGTCTTCTCGCCATAATCTCTGTTTCTTTTTTTTGGTGGCTGGTGAATGCTGAATAGCATAGTTTACTTTAAAGTTTAAACTAAAGAGAGAAGTTTGGAATGGGTTTATGGGGAAGGAGAAATATCAAGGAAAAAATTAAGAAAAGCTTGAAATTGGTTTTTAGGGAAAGATGTAACCTTTTCAATGTCTTTAGAAGTTTGGACTTCGCAGATTTGCTTCTTTTTTTTTTTTTGGAAACTATTGCCACATTCCCAATTCTTTTTAAACTATTTTGTAACATTCTGTTCAATATAAACACAAATTGATAGAAAGACTTGGAGATTTGGTTATGGCGTATTTTACCTGGTTTTTATAAGCATCACCAAATACCAGACTGATCTGGTCTCTGGTATACGAAACCGAAGAACAGCTGGTTTTTATCTTCACAGTATAGGAGCACGTATTTTCTGGCACTTCTTCTCTCTCTATCGCCTGTAAGAATAGGTAAAAATGTCAAAAACCTTTAGAGAGAGAAACTAATAACGTCTGTAAAAATTCGTATAAAAACATCCAAGAAGTCTAGAGAGAGAAAGTAATGAACACCCATGTCCTGTTCTGTGAATTGCTCACCAAATACCAAAATAACAAATGTTCTCGAGAGAGAAACCGATTAACCTCCATGTCCTGATGTCTCAATATCTCTCCATTTCCCAAAAGAAACACGCCTACATAGTCTAGAGAGAGAAACTAATGAAAACCCATGTCTTGTTTTCTGAATCTCTCTCCAAGGCCCAAAAGAAAACCAGATTAAATGTCGAAAAAGTCTAGTGAGACAAAGTAAACAAATCTCTCTCCAAGGCCCAAAAAATAACAGATTAAATGTCGAAAAAGTCTAGTGAGACAAAGTAAACAAAACCCACTTCCTGTTTTGAGGTAAAAACCAAGAGGCCATGTGGTGATCGAAGAGCAGGGAAATCTAGAGAGAGAAAACTTGGGTTTTTGAGGAGGATTTGTCAATTACCTGCTTATCCTTGATCTTTAGAGAACCCACCACATGAGGCTTAATGGCTGTTGAATTAGAGAGAGAGAAAACCATTGAAACAAGGATGAGAGAGAAAACCATTCTCTCCATTTTTTCCAAATCTAGAGAGATAAAACTCGTGTTTTTTGGTCCGCCGATCGTGAGGCAAATTTGCGCCTTTTGTAGTTCACGAATTGCAGTCTACAGCGTTTAACGCATGTTTTAAATTTCGGCGAAATTTCGGCTTCCGCAATATTCGAAATTTCCTCTTTTTTTATGAAAGTTAAGAAAAGAAAATTAGAATCAGGGGTCAAATTTCTATCAACTTGGTGGTTAGTTCTCTCTTAAAATGGAAAATCAAAAACGAATTTTCTTTAAAATAATGGGAAATTTATCAATGGAAAAATTGAAGAATCTTCTAATTGATCATCTCAATCTCAACTTTGAGACATGTAGATATGAAAAAAAATAAATGAATTAAAGGCACAGCATTTTGTAATAAACTATGAAAACCATTTTTTTGTAATATTTTCAGGTTTTTACAGGTCTACTCCATTTGTATTATTTTTAAAATTTAAAATTACACAACTAAGGATAAAAATAAATTTTTCAGCCATCATAAGGTTCCTGATAATGGAACTACATCCCTAAATAAATTTTAAGGCACACCTTGCTTCTACAGTAAGTATAATGAGGGCACCTTTTACAAACCTCAACACTTATCCATATACACATGAGTTATTTAACATTCTATTCACATATTTTGATATAATTTTAAAATACCCATTAAAATACTGGTGTGGTTTGTATAGAGCCTAGGCTTTAAACAATCAAATTAGAACCTACTTTCAAATAGTGTTGAGAAATGTGATTTCAATATTGGAAATCTTTGTGATAGCTTTAAAAATATATTTTCATATTTATTTATAAAGTTTAAAGCTTAAAAAATACTATAGATCGATAGATCTATGAAAACTTGAAAATCTAAAAAATTGACTGTATAAAAATGCATTACAAAATACAATATTTTCAAAACTTGAAATCTATTTTTTTATCATGTCCATGCATCTTGATATCGAGATGATCAATTTGGAGATATTTGAGCATCAAAATAACCTATTTTAGTGAAAGTTTTGAGGTAGGCTCAAATTTGATTATTTAGAGCCTCAACTCTATATAAACTTTTCCCTTAAAATACATGATGATAACTTGGAATAGTTGTAATTAGGCAAAATATGTAAGGGAAAACTTTACAAAAGGTTGCAACCTTACACTAATGAAACCAAGGTGCACCTCAAAATCTGCTAGAGGAGAGTATATTGATGTTGGAGAACCCCATAATTGATCATATTAACCTCGAAATATGTGGATATGAAGAAAAAAAAATATTCAAGTTTAAAAAATAATACATTTTTTAACAAGGCATCTGTACCATCTATTTTCAATATTTTTAAGTACTTATATATTTTCTCGATCTGTATTATTTTTAAAATTTTATATTTCATAACTATAGTTAAAAATAGATTTTCAATCCATTGTAAAAATTATAACACCAAAACTACATCTCCAAATAAATTTTAGAGGTCTGCCTTACTTATCTATTGAATAAAGCTTCACCGAAAGTGTAATAGTTGATCTCATAGGATTATATACAATGAGACCATTTACTTTTGATACAAAGTAGTCATAACATAACCTTAACTTAAAGCCATCCGAGTAAAATTTGATAGTTTGAACGTGTCATATAGTTCAAAAAAATTTATTTTAAAATTTGATATTTATCAATAGAATAAATGCATACACCTAATTTTACATCAAGATTAATTGTGACTACTTTGTATGAAAAATTAAATACCATTCTATGCTTTTTCGAATCTCCCATAAGCATATGTAAAGTATCAACGTCCAAGTAACGATCACCTATAAAACTTCCTAGAGAAGTTTATTGGAAAATCTTCAAATTGATCGTCTCGACCTCAAGATTCATTAAAAAAAAAAAAAAAAAAAGTGAATTTAAATCCTCAAATTGATGGCCTCGACCTCAACATTCACATAAAAAAAAGTGAATTTCTAATCTTATAAATAGTTAGAATGAGTGGACGGGGATATAGACATGTGGCCACTGATGAGTCAGCACCGACCCACACTACTTTGCAGAAATCGTGCGGACTTGCAGAAATCGTACGTACTACACTACTGTGCAGAAATGGACGGCCAAGATTTTCCATGGTAGATACCATCTTTCATGTGTGAATCGCCATCTTAGTGGCCGAATCATAACTTGACCATGTGACGCATCTTTTAGTCGAAAAAATGAATTACATTTATTTATAAGGGAAAATTTAGATTTATTGAACAGGGGAAATAAACTATTTTTCTTATAGATAAACATAATTTTAAACAAAGAGTGATATTAGGATTCCCGAACTAATTAGGGTCTGGCCCATTTAAAATTGTTCGACCACTATCAAATCGGTAGGATCAGATTTTAAGAAAAAACAAAAAAAAAGAATTATAGTTCAAAACATAGAAATATGTTACATAAAAAGTCTAACATTATTTAGCCAGTTCAATTTATCAAAACCAACCAGTCTAACCATCTAAAACCAATCCGAAATTAGTTTTGGTCGGATTTCTGTCAAATCTAGTTTTTTCGTTGAACTAAACTAACCAAAAGAACCGGCTGGTGTGAACAATTGAACAAGGCAGCCCAATCCTTTCTTGATAACTTAATGAAATTATAAAATGAGAACCTTTATCTTGCAAAAGGGTCATAATAACCTCCAGCTATTGGATATTGCCATGCTTTGGTGTGTCTAAAAGTGTTTAGTACTATAGTATAAAGGGTTAGTATGGAAAGGTATATCTCTACAAGTACTATTTTCAATAAATGATACAAACTTTTATATACTTTTCTTATTGCTTGTAAGATAAGATCCACCCCCCCCCCCGCGACATGTGATGTTCCAAGTTCTAGGCTATATGTGAGCTATTTTGAAATGTGAATGTACACCATGAGGCTATTTACTTTTGTTACAAGAATCATTATTTCTACCAGCCGTTAGATGTCAAATTTGATGGCTTTGGGTGTGACATATTTTAATCACCCAATTTAAAATCTAATATACAAGAATAAATATGACCTTCTTGTATTAAAAATAAAAAAATATATACAATAAGACCATTTACCTTTGGTACAAGATGATCACAATTAATTTTGACCATTAAATGTGAAATTGGATGGTTGCATTTATTCCATTGATCAAGCTCAAAGCTCAAAACAAAATTTTTCGAATTTTATAACACACATAAGCTGGAAGTAATTGTTGCATCCTTGTACCAAAGATAAATGATTTCATTGTATACAATCCCTAAAAGTAAATGATCTCTTTATATACTTTTCCTTTTGAATTGGGTGTATCAAAGTAAAGCACACTTCGAGATGCGATTTTTATGCTGGAAAACCCTTGAGCTTGCCTAAAAATTTATTTATACCTTTCATTATCATCATCAAAACCTTATCTTAAGTATTGAGATGAACAATTGAAGGGTTTTCCAGTGCCAACACAATCCTTTCTATGGGATTTTAATATGCACCTTAGATTAACATCTTATTCATATGATCTTTTTCTTTTAAAAATTCATACACCACATATAGTATTAACATGTGTTTAAAGTGTGAACACATCGACAAGTAACACAAATTCCCCTATAGAACATACCTCTACCTTCAAAGTTCAAGCCCACCCACAAGCCATTTTGAACTTTTTGTACCACTTAAAATGTCCTCATATATTGACACATGTCAACAACTGAAATAAAATGGTATAACATTGCATTGAAGGATAACTTTTGGGGGCTCTATGCAAAGGGATTTCAGTGAATTTAATCTGAACAACCACTAAAATTGCCATTCATGTGAAGAATCACACAGATCGAATTCCATATGGGTGGAACAAAATAGAGGAGAAAAACTAAGACACTTAACCAAACAAAACCATCAAGGCTTGATTAATATCTTTATGGTAAAATGATACAAATCATTTACAAAAAGATATCTTCAGATCTTATTATTTAAATAATTATTGGAGTAAGAACTTCTGTAAACTAATGCAAATAGCTCATCCCTTCAGGTCCCAACTGATCTCATAAGATTTGGATCTGCACTAAAAAACCACCAAGTTAATTCTCATCAAATTGACAACAATCCATGAAAGTAGTGCATATAAACACGTTTGGATTCATGAAGTAGTGCATGCGTGTTGAATAGAAATATTAAAATCATTGAGTGCTTGGGTATTGTTGTATGGATCTATGATCATATACATGGATTCTATAATATAAACCCATTTATTTTTTGTATGGCAATCACTTTTAGCCATTAGAAATCCAAAAAATAAAAGTGTATCACAATATTTGAGAAATTTCATTTTAGACTGTGTTCAAACAGCGACACATCCTCAATCTAACAGCCAATGAGGTTTGTGACCCCCTTGTATCAAAACTAAATGTTCTCATTGTATACATATCTCTATGGACACGGTTTCTACGCAGCCAGCCTGCATATTGTACAAATGCGAGCTTGGCAATAAGAATATTTTTTAAATACATTTTGATCCTAAGTTTTAGAGACTATATAACCTTTAACATGGAGATCATGAATATGAAAAAACAAAAATAAAAAATAAAAAAATTGAAAACTAAAAATAATAATTATATTAAGAAAACATTTTACAATTGTTTTTAGATGGACCGCCTATTTGCATCATCTTCAAAATGGATGCTTTATACCTCTGGACCGCATTTGTAGAAATGCGGTTCAGCCTGCATGAAACAATTTTCCTTTCTATATATATATATATATATATATATATATATATATATCTAGTAACGTAAGTACTTAGTATACTACTACTACAACTATATTAGTTTAGTAGTTAGTACGGAACAACCTACCTAACTACTTACGTTACTTAGTT